TTATGTTTCAGAAATGTGTAAATTTATGCATCATATTATTGTGCTTGGACACAAATGTGTCAAATTGCTAAATGTTGCGTGAATTATTTAAAAATGTTGTGCTTGGTCATGGCTGGTGGACATTTGCAGAATGTGTCGTCATTCTTTTGCCGTTTTGGTCGAGTTTACTCACACGACTTTTTTAATTACCGATTTACCCCCGTGGTGGATAGCAAATCGTCATTGTAATAATTTTCTGTTTCAAAACAATTTTTTTCACTTCTTTTATATACTCAGCCGCAAATAATCAATCAAAAAACCAAACTTAAACTTGTGGTTGAGAGTTGAGACTTGACACTAGGGATGGCAACGGGTCAGGTTTCAGAACCAAGGATCGCTTGTGAGCTGATCCGTGCAGAAGACATTGTCAAGTGGGGAGCTTGGCTAGGGCGGTACATCTGTTAAAAAATAGCGCATGTGAGTTCTGTCGTCTGCCTGCTCTTGCGGTAACCAAAGGGTTGACATTCAATTGACGTCATGGCATTGCTTGTGGTACACTATTTGTTGGCTTGTTCCCAAAAAGTTTAATATATTCAAAACGCGTGTTTCAAAAATACATAGATCATAGGAATTTAGGGTTTTAAAAAATTTATTGAAATCTTTCTTTTTTTTATATTGAAAGTCAGGTACAGGTCGAGTTGGGTACGGGTCAGGTCGGTCAAATATACTAACCCAAACTCGGTCAAAATCTTAGCTTTTGCATGAATTGGCTCTATATCAAGAACCTAACTAAAGGTAGGATCATATAACAAAAATAGAGCATTTTAAAACACACAAAACTGAGTGTTTTTGATTTGTTCAAGAAATATAAAGTCATTACATACTCGTATTGTTTAAAGAGAAGTGAAGGTGAAACTCTACGCACACACACACAAAGCCACACAGGCGAGTGCAGAAAAAATGAGGGTTATGCATTACTCCCTCCGTCCCACTCTTTTTGTCCACTTTCATTTTTACACACCATCCAATGTACTTCTTTAATCCATTTTATCTTGTAATTTATATATTAAAAAATTATATATTAATAATCTATATGTTAAGACAAATCAAACAAGATCACACATGACTATTTTTAGACTTACACATTGAGAGAATTTGATGAGTCAAAGTGCTTAGATGAACAGTTCCAAAAGTCAAAACTGGACAAAAAGAATGGGACGGAGGTAGTATTATTCAAAATGAACTCAGTTCTTTTAAAAAGAAATATCTTTGGGGGAAGGGTGACCTGCTTCCATATTTGTCTTGCTGTCCATTTCTAATGAAATGTTGGGATCTGACCCACCTATTAACACCATAAATTGGATTTCTATTAGAAATCATGGTACTCCGTACAATTTTAGGAGAACTAAGCTAACAACAACCCAGAAGAACAAGAAAAAAGAGCACAACACGCATTGAATACTTTATGTTCTTAATTGACATGAAAGTTAATAGTGTCCACACCATATAAAGAATAATAAAATTCCTATTTTGTTTTTTCCTGTTTCAATTGATCATTTGTTAGAATTTCGGCGTAACGACAAAGACAACAGAGTATTGCTTTCCTTCTCTCAGAGGAAGACCGAAGAAGAAAACACCGTCTAAGAATGGAAGTGAGGTACCAACACCAGGTTCAGCTGCATCGATTCCATCTAAGATTATGAGCGTGGTAACCCCTGATTCGAATGTCACTAAGAACGCAGAGGAGATCCCTATTACAGTGGAGGAAGCAGATCTGAGTGCCACACCAATCACAGAGCAGAAATCATATGCTGCTGTGGTGGGCAATCAAGATGATGAAATGCATCTCAAATATATTCCGGCTACAGAGGTAAATATAGAAATTTTGTGGCTAGATTAACAAAAGAGGATATCATTGATTTGTATTCATATTGCCATATTGGGATGCGTCATTGGTGTGCTGTATTTTGGTGGCAAATCCACCATTGGAGGTGGTGAAAGGATATGTTAATAGGATCTGGAATTCATATCATATAGAGGATGTGTCTTTTCTGAAAGAGGGTCAATTCATTATCATGTTCAAAAATGTTGAGGAGAGGGATGCTATTATCAAAAGGAAGTACTACTGTTTTGATAATAAACCGGTCCTCGTTCAGAAATGGTATCCTGGGGTGAAGGTAGATCTGGAGCACCTTGATGACATCCCTATATGGATTCAACTTCCTGACCTGGATTTGAAATACTAGAGTCTTGGAGTCTCACAGGTCTCAGCAAGATAGGGAGCCTTGTTGGAATACCAATCAAACGAGACAGACCTACTGCCAAGAAGACTAAGTACTCATATGTGGGCGAATAAGAACAGATAATAAACCCTTCCTGAACGTCATCTCTTCCGGTCTCACAGTCCATAGGTAAGCTATAAATTCAAAAAGAAAAAAATACAATTCTTTCATAATCAAAATTCCATATATAGATTAACAAAAACAATAATAATAAACCCCTTTATTCCAAATTCAAAAAAAAAATACTATCTGTGCAATTAACATGTTGTTTTAGTAGCATAATTTAATTGCAAAATCAACCACACTCTAAAACGTCACATATCTATGTAAACCATTAAGCAAAATCAAATTAAAATATGGAGAAGGAGATGAATTTGACTTACCATGGGTGGTGGATCGAGCAGTGTACACTGGAGATTTGAGAATGGAGGAGGGAGGAAAGATAGGTGAAGGTCGGATCGTGGGTTGGTGCGCAGCATATGATGGAGATTTGAGGAAGGAGGAGGGAAGGAAAAGAGAGGTGAAGGGCGCATAATGGGTTGGTGCAGATTCGTAGAGAATGAAGATATGGAAACCGCACCTTCAAACGATATGAATTTGCACCGTAATTGACGACCAGGTTTGTCAATCGCGGATGAAATTGGACCGTCCAAATGCAGCAAAAATTGGATGGAAGTTTTCTCAATTTTGATTCAATCTTTATAAATATAATAGATACCATTACATAGAATCCTTCATTTGAGTAAGTATGTTACAGCACAAGCATCTAAATGGGAGCCAGGTGGCTGGTAAACTGATTCTGTTAGCGGTAGTTAGGGCTGTTACTGATTTGTGGGAAGCTGTTATAGTTAGTTAGAAGTTGTTGTGAAGATTGTTGTAAGCCCTTTGTATAAATACCATACCCTGTGTACATTTGGGAGTTATGAATAATAAGACATCACTTTCTTCTTCCTCTCTTTCCTCTGTAACTGTCATTCTCCATTACAGTTAATTCGAAGCTCTCATTCTGCCATTAGAGTAGCTTCTTGTGATAACTGTAACATTGGTATCAAAGCTCCTTCTCGATCCAAACCACGACAATCTGGCCAATACACGTGCGAAGATCAAGATGGAAGAAGCATTGAAGAAGATGATCGAACAACAACGCGATTGGATGGCATCGCAGCTTTCAGAACAATGGAAACTCATGGAAGAACAGGTCTCTCGGCTAGCAAATCAGCTGCAGGATTTGCAGACACAAGGATCTGGCAGCTATCAAGAGTCAGGAAATTCATCAAATCACAATGGAGGCAGAAATCCATTCCATTTCAATCCGAAGATCGAATTTCCATCATTCGAGGGAGGAAATCCACGAGAATGGATCAAGAAATGCAG